TTTATCCTAAAAAAAAAAGGGGGGGGGGGGACATTCTGACTGAGAAAAGAGTTAGGAGTGGAGTGTTTAAAAAAACAAAACCGAAGAACAACCTAAAAAAGTGAAAGCCCCGTAGTTACCATCGGTGTTATTCAGCGTGAGAACGTGAGCCGGCGGGGGTGCACAAGCTGCTTAGTGAACTGCGTGAAAAAAACAAGCAACACTTCTTAAAACTTTATTGATTTACCACTTGATTAAAGCATGGAATATTATAACAGTATTATACATAGTATTTTCATGTAGAAAACTTTACATAGTTTTTCATATATAATTTTGGTATTCTCTCAAAAATGTATACATCCATTGGGCAAGGAATGCTCCTCTTTAAATTACTGATATTAAATGCACTTAATATGGAGACCTTCAAAAAAACTTAGTCATTTTAAATATGTGAAAACATACATTTTACACAGAAATAACATTAAAGGTGCTGAACAAACTGAATTTACATATTAAAGGGAGCTGCACTTTTGACAAAGCTTAGTTCTACTTCAGACTAGAAGTTACACATTTTTAATCTTTCTTATTCTTACTAATAAGACTGAGCTAAACTTTGGGGGGGTGTTTCCTTGTATTAGTGGAAGTTGTTGTAGATTGTTCTGTTTACAACTTGGAAAGTGAGATACAAGACACAGACAACAAACTGTAAAAATAATCTTTTCTTGTACTGTAAGATTTATAGAATCAACGTGAAAGGGAGTTTTTAGGGTTTTCCTCATTGGCATCCTCCCCCTGCCTACCTATTTCCTAGAGGGTTCCAAAATAAGAAGTAATAACAAATATCATGCAGTCTCCATATTTATACCATTATAGGTAAATCAGTTTATAGTTTAATTTGTTGCATAACACTACTTTAAAAGTCTAAGAGGTTACTTTTTATTACTGCATGTATTGCACAGATGTCTCGATCTCTGCCAGGATATGCTGGCACAGACCCCTGTTCTCGTTCATAGTTCCACTAAAACGAATAAAACCACCGCAGGCAGATAAAGTCTATGTCAGCAGAGCCAGGACAAGATCGGACCAGCAGTGACTACTGCAGGAGTTTTGGCTCAGCATTTTTAGCTTCATTAAGATATCTATGGGTTATGATCTTTCTGACTGTCTAAGGGAAACCAAACAGCTGATGCGAATACAACCGTTTCAGGTACTACACTTAACGTACCATTCTTATTGCTTTAACACGTACAATCAGTTACAGAAAATGGACAGGATTAAGGCTGTTAAATCCAATTGCATTCCAGTCCCCCTTCTCCTTCACGCACTACAGAGTCTAGGATGTTTTGATGTCACATACCTAATTTCAGCAGTTTATAAATGGTATAAATACAATAAAAGCTTTACTCAGGTAAAACAGTCTCGGAACTAAGGCTGAAGGAAAGGATTGATTAAAGGCCCTTATTCTATATGCAGAGATAGTACAAATGTTGCACGTTACGGTGAAGAAAGCCCACAATGCAACTGTAAAGTAATTTAAGATCTGAAAATTAAAAGACTTGTTTCAAGACATGAGTTGTAAGGCTTTCAAAACTAAAATACAGAAAAAAGCATGCAACTTTAAAGTTTGTGTTTTGATAGGAGATATAGGTATACATTCAGTGAGGCAGTGACACATTCAAAATCTGAAAAATAAAGTTTCAAATATTTTCTTTAGGACTATCTAGGACTGGAAGAAAAGGAATAGCCTATTCTTACAGGTTTAAATAGAGTTAAAATAAATACTTCATTTTTACTGTAATTGATGAAGTGACATTACCAGGGAATGAGCAACTATACTAAATGCAACACAAAAGGACATTTCAAATGCAGCAAGTTAAACATCAGCATTCTTATTTTTCAGGCTTTTCCTATTGTAAAATATAGCAATATATTCCCTTCTACTAAATATTATAGATTTAATCTGATGGGCATTGAAAAGTTAAAGAGCCACAACCACCATTTATTTTTCTTTGGTTAAAAATAAAAATTAAAAATAAAAATGTGAAAGCCTTATCACTACTATTGACTGCAAAACCATTCCCAAACAATGCTTATATGGAAGCCGGTTTACTGAAGAGCACCATATGAACCCTTTGGAAATAGCTCACAAAAAAAAAAAGGAAAGAAAGAATCCCAGCAAGCTCTGAATGGAATATCCCAAGAAAACCTCAACTATGGCCACCCTACCAGGAAACTCAACTTAAAAAGCAAAATAACAGGTTAAACACTTAATACCATTCAAGTAGGTTGCTGGGTTTTGTTTGTTTGTTTTTAAATACTGTTATATTTTAGGTTTGGCTAATATGGATAGCACAGCAGTTACATAACACCTTGGTTTACATTATTTTAGGAAGTGGAACCTTTCCTCCCATCCTGCCATACTCTTCCAGTTAGGGAAGTCTTAAAACTTGAAATTAAAATTAGTTCAAAAGGACAGACCTCAGCCCTGCAGTACTTCAACTGTAACAGGTATTCTATCATGGGAACAGTTGGCACAGAAAACTGATGTGTTTTGAAGAAAGAAAGAAAGATCTCCAGGGCAAGCAAAGCTGTAGTGTTACGTCACGTTTGCTTCACAGATACCTTCAAAGCATAGAAATGTATTGGTAACTCTTAGAGTACGTGAATGAACTTAAGTTTAATTTTGCTAGAGCAGTTTCGTGGGAATTCAATTTTCTTTTAGATCACATCAGGAACTAGTAGTTCAGAACAAAAGTCATTTGCACAAAAAGATGAATCAGAATTTGCAGATCTGCAGTAAAAAGAGACAGAACCTGGTATGTATTGAGGACAGGACTTCCTGCGCTAAACAGACACAATTGCTACTAAATACATTATAGTCAAGGGTGAAAAAGGGTGGTTTTATTTGTTCCAAAACTTGTTTTTAATATTGCTGTATATGCTCTGTCCATGATCTGGCAATGTATGAAAGTAAATGGAAAGTTTAAAAGTAGTTTGGTTTTTTTTAAATGCCTTTAACTCAAGACTAACAAGCTCAATAGTAGATGCTATTGTGTGCTCCTGATGTAAAACCTTCCATAAAAACAAAAATAAGTCTCAGAAGACGAAGCACTGATGTTAAAAAAAGTTTTTAAAATGACTTGCTAAACAGGAGGAAACCCCTTTCCCCAAATACCCTACAGGCTGTCCACTTCAAAAACCGTAGCACGTTGCCTGGTCTAGTCATGTACACACAAAGAAAAACCCAGAATGATGGTGGGTGGTCATTAGCCACTGCAATATAGTTTATTATGAACACATGTGCTAACATCACAAGGCTATACAACTATATTCATTATTTCCAAGGGGCATAATTTCTATTGAGGAATCCAGCTGATTTATCGGATTTAGCTGGGATGCAAGACTGAACAATTGATAAAAGACTAGAGGAGACAGACTTGATCATAAGGATGACTAGTATTGAAACAAAGAGACTTTACATCTACTGTATTAACTCTGTAAGCAATAATTTAAATAAAACTGCTGATAGTTTTGTAGGATGGACAGAACAGGATTTTTTTTCCTCCTCCCCAAATGCCATTGTGGTAAGAGTAACTTAACTTGCTGCTGTGTTGATACACCAGGGTCCCATTTTTTCCCCCATTCACTTCAATCCATCTCTCGAACACAGCTTTATGTACACGCAGAAGTAACCAACCCTACTTAGGGCTACCAGGAAGGTAAGTTCATCCCAGTTGTCCGTATCTGCTCCTCTGTTACGCAGATTTTGAACACAACGCCTATACGCAGGAAGAACTTCCGTAGCACTGCTCGAAGCTCAGGAATCAGGTCAAATTGCATGATTTCACACAAGTATGGATAATATGTTGAAGCATGTGCCCTAAACTATCAAAGAAGATACGGAAAAAGAATGTTAATCTCTATTACTATAAGAAAGCGCAGAGTTTTTCCACGTTCATGGGTACGCCAACTTGTTAAACCACAAGGTCTCACCCAATCAAAGGCCGCCCTGGATTAGGGCCATCAAGCCTGGTGTCTGTTTTCTGCAGCAGCCTTAGCAGATGCCCGCAGGAAGCCATGCACATTGCGTGCAGTTGGCATTACTTCTCTAAAATAGAGTCAGACTATTTTGTGGCTCAGGGATTTCTCAGGCTAGAGGTGGTATCAGGGACTACTTGTAGAAACACCCCCCTCTCATGTGAATTTGTCCAGTTGCTTCTCCAGCCTCTTTAAAATATCATCCATAGTACATAACAACGCCTTCCACAGCTGAACCGGTGTGTGAAGAAGTATCTCCATTATGTGTTTGTTTAATGTCTGTTGCCCCCCCCCCCCCCCCCCTCCAGTGCCTTTCCATCTCCAAAACTCTCATTCACCATCTCTTCCAGTATAAAAATCATCAGTCCTTTCCCTCTCTTCGTGCTAATAATGACCTTATGCACCTCTCATTTTTATTTCTTTTCCAGGTAAGAGATAACTGAGTAGAAGTCTAACCTGCATACAGTTCCACATATGGAAGCCAGTCTATATCCCTTACTCCTGTTACACTCTCAACTCCATCACACCCCTTTCAATATGGGGGATCAGAACTGCAAACTATTCAAGATGCAAATCTGTCATCAATTTACACAAGAACAATGTTTTTTCCTCTATTCCTTTCCTAAAAGTGCTCAGTATTCATTACAGGGAAAGTTGATGGAACACTGTCACCACAGAACTTTTACAATAAAAAGATACTGGGATGGTGTACTACGGAAGGGCCAGCTTGCCATTTTATCTACAAGGAGTTAAGACTGTTCTCACAACACACCATAACCACAGGGACATCACTAAATTGCTGCTAAGTGGTGAAGCCAAGTCACCACTACTACCAATTTCTTAAAATATTGGTAAATTGCAATACAACATTCCAGACTACACAAGAGAGAAGTGAAATTACACACTTCGCAATACAGAAAAAAAACAACCCTACACCAGGAAAAAATAACATACTTTAAAACAAGATGAAGTTCAACAGTATTGGAAAGTTTAAAAAAAAAACCAAACATAAGCAACTTCCGGAAGTTTCTCTGCATGTCCTAATGTACTGAATATTTGCATTCACCTTTTCCTCAAAAGGGCCAAGATCCTGAAAATTATTTTTTGCTATCACTGTCAAGGAACCAGAACTCCAGTTTTACAGTATTGAAATTTAACTCTACCATTCTGTGCAGCTGTAATACAGCACAAGCCATTCCTGTATTGCACAGTCATTGTGCTTTTATATGAAAGCTCTGCAGTAATTCTATCAATATTTCTATAGAACTGTGAATTTCATGGATGCAGTCCGATTTTTACAATGTGGAATGCTTGCAAAAAATGGAGAAGTAACAACTGCTGTATTTCAAGGAGAGTACACGCTATATGAATAAGTGAACTAGCCACCTTGCAGTACAGACGATAATAAAGACTGAATTCAACAGAAGAAGAAATGAAAAAATATCTGAATGCGAACAGACATGACTTCCAGACTGTTCTTACCTTTTCATCACTGATTTTTAGTGTTTTCGTTAAAAGCAACAGCAGGAGATTGGTCCAAGCTTCTCTGTGGCTTTCTGAGTTCACGGTAATAAAATATGCCAGGGCTTCACTACATACACTAAAGAGATGACACAGTTCAGACAAACCATAGAGAAAACCCACAAAGTTTTTATAATATGCAGTGTTTGTCCTCTCATAGTGTATTTTGTTTTCGAGTAAGATGCATTTCCACAGGAAAGTTTTCAATCACATGCAACAACTTTAATTACACAAATTTGCCTCAATGATTTTTCTATTGCAGACTGAAATAGTTTTCAAGTTGTCAACAAACAACCATGGAGTCAGAGGTGGAAGAGTCTGATTTTCCTCATAAACATTCTGTAATTAACACGTTGTCACCTTCAGCTTGCAAACATTATTTCCTGATCCTTACATTGGGACAGCTTAGGCAACAGCAACATGAAAGACTTCTCCCTCCAAATCTACACTGCTTTATTAAAGATCTGCAGAGCTCAGCGTCACGGATTAAAGAGGGATTACTACTGTATTAATAAATTTTTGGTCCTTGTTGTAGACTGTCAACACATGGTACAAACTGTACCACTTACTATGGCTTTTTGGGGCACTATTTTAACTAAAGAGGGAACAGAATCTCCTCTCTTACACACCAAAAAGATTAATATATTCATAGACACTGACAAATCAGAATGCTACTGAAATCCACTGCATTAATACGAATACCAAGTTTAAGAGTTCTTTACATTTGATTAGAGATTAGTACTCTGAACTTTTATGTACCAACAACTCACTTTTCAAATAAAAGAGACCACAATACCTTTTTATATTTATTTAGCATAATTTTCTATGTTTACCTAAATTCCAGGTATACAGCAGCTTATACTGTATGTTTAGATTAGTGTATCCTATTACACCTCTGAATATCATTATATGCTCAGATGTGAAAAGTATTCATACACCACCACTTTTGTAAACAAAAGCTTATGTCAGGCAAGAAGGTGCTTCATTTATTCCAAGTAGATTGCTTCCTTATTGCTAAATTAACTTTTAATAAAGAGTGGTCACATCTCTCTCTCTGTATACTCTGCACACTCTGCTCAGCAAGTTAAAACAGAGCATCTGTATCCAGGGAGGCATCACACTGGCTGAAAACAGAACGCACCAGAACCAAGCCGATACTCTTACCTAAGCAGTCGTCGTTGTATAGCATCCCACGAGTCTCGGCGGTTTTCATCCACATACATTCGAAAGAGTATTCTCAAGCAACAAGCCAAGCTGCTGGTCTCTTGTTTTAAGAGATTGGGTTTTGATTTACCCTTGAACCCTAGAAATCAGTTACACATAGGGAGAGAGGGAACATTCACATTTGTAGTTACTACCCAAGAGGTAAAGTTTATCAACAATACCTCCGCTAGTGAACAGTAATGATTTCTTGTCCGGATAATATTTCCTCCTCCTTGATTTTGACTGAGACCTAATCTATTTATAAAGATATTTAACTACAGTAGTACCAACTGCATAGCTCTACTTTAATCAAAAAAGCAGATAATTTAGCAAACAGAATTATTCTCAAGTCATCAGGAAGGAGACAAGTAATAAAAGCATGCAACACTGTCAGATTAACTGTAGAGATTATTGCAATGGCATACTTTTGTATCTCGACAGCTAAAGCTATAAAAGCAGCTCAGTATTTTTATCAAACTAGAAATAAAAGCCTCACCTGCTCTCCATAACACAGTTCGCTGTTCATAATTTGAATTAAAGGCTTTTGAAAATGAATGAGACTCTTGCAGACAATCTAGTAACTTAAAGAGGTGATGTGAAGACATATATTTATACATTCCTTGGTCTTCTGTGTCAATGTGGATATCTGCATCCAATGCGTCTCGCTAAAGGTGAGGGGGGAGAGAGGGCAGAGTGTCAATAACATTCTTTATATATAAGCTTAAAAGACTTTGATACTTCACAGACCATATACCACTAATTCCAGATTCCATGTTTAGGTACAAGTGAAATATTAGTGCAAATATTAGTGCAAATATTAGTGCAAATATTAGTGCAAATATTAGTGCAAATATTAGTGCAAATATTAGTGCAAATATTAGTGCAAATATTAGTGCAAATATTAGTGCAAATATTAGTGCAAATATTAGTGCAAATATTAGTGCAAATATTAGTGCAAATATTAGTGCAAATATTAGTGCAAATATTAGTGCAAATATTAGTGCAAATATTAGTGCAAATATTAGTGCAAATATTAGTGCAAATATTAGTGCAAATATTAGTGCAAATATTAGTGCAAATATTAGTGCAAATATTAGTGCAAATATTAGTGCAAATATTAGTGCAAATATTAGTGCAAATATTAGTGCAAATATTAGTGCAAATATTAGTGCAAATATTAGTGCAAATATTAGTGCAAATATTAGTGCAAATATTAGTGCAAATATTAGTGCAAATATTAGTGCAAATATTAGTGCAAATATTAGTGCAAATATTAGTGCAAATATTAGTGCAAAGATGTGGTGCTCAGGGACATGGTTTAGTGGTGGACTTGGCAGTGTCAGGTTAACGGTTGGACTCAATGATCTTAAAGGTCTTTTCCAACCAAAATGATTCTATGATTCTTTTCAGTAGGATATTTTCAAAGATAGAAGTTATGACCTATCCTAGTTACTGATAAGGAGGAAAAAAAAAAAAAATCAAGAACAAGGGAAGAACCTCCCTTATCAAGGCATAAAAAAGTCATAGCAATACAATATAGAACATTTCCTCTCCCCTAGGAGCTGACTGAGTAGGTCTCCTGAATTCTGAAAAGCATGAAAATGAACCACAAAATAGTGCAAGTTTAAATGTTGCATAGTGTAGAACCTCCCCATCTTTAGCTAATGTCAAGTTTCATTAAAATTGGTCAATGGTTTTATCTAACTTCATTAGAAATTTAACTATACTATCCCCAAAACACTACCTGAATGCACTAGCCCAAACTTCTAGCCTAGGGCTTTATTAACATAACCAAGCAAGAGCTATCTTGCACTATTGCCTAGAACCAGAACTTTCAGGGACGAGGATCTCTGAGGCAGGTAATGAGTTAAATCTTGACCATTAACCTTGCTAAAGTTCAACTTCAGCATTTCCTCCTGTGTAAACACCTAGAGACTCTGCAAAGCCTCAACTGTGGCTAAATGAAGACACTCAGGCTAAACAACAGAAAAGAATGCTTTCCCCCAAAACAAAAACCATTCTTGATGAGTATATATTTATTATAAAAACAATGATAATATATTATATTGATAATAAAAATAGTGGTAATATAATTATAATAATGCAACAGGCAGACTGCCAGGAAACACTGGAGGCTGTAAAAAAAAGTCACAGCTTAAGAGTAATGACAGACACATTCAGGGTAGTGCTGAGAGTTAGAAAAAGGAAGGGACTATATACTCTGTTTTGTAAACACACTTCAGAGCATTGGATAGTCTTTGTACTTTACTGCCACAACAAGGTGTAAATAAGTCTGATGGTACCTGAGCTGCAGCCATGTGCTCAGCATCTTCCTTCTTGCTTGTGGCTGGATAGAACACTATGTTATCAATGGTCTGTATCAATTCCAGCTGTACCACACACTTTATAAGGAGGCCAGCAAATAGTTTCTGGTCTAATGAAATGGAACACAAGTTTCAGAAGCAAACTTATGACAATTCACTTATAACAGGCTAGCAAAACACTACATTACCATTAGCCTTTTGATATTTAGTGATGCTGTGAATTATCTTATACAGAGAAAAATTTCTCCGCAACACAAGTTGTATCCCAAGTTTAAGTGCCCCAAAACTTTTGCTACAGAACTACAGAAGTGGACTAGGAGCGGCTATAAAAGTTCATTTAATAAACTTGCATGTTTTCCTTACTTGTATAAGGACCACCTTTCCAGCTCTCATCCGTTGGATTTGAAAATTGACTTTGTCCTCTTTCTGAAGCGTTTTTATCCATGCTGCTTAAAGACTGGCGATCTAGGTCTAAATCCTAGAAGAGAACGCAGAACAATTCTAGCAATCCAAAACACTACCTACCAACCAGCTACCAGTTTCCAGATGACATCACTAATCTTAGATTGAAAGGCTTCCTGCATCCATTCTTTATATCTTATTTTACAATGACATCAAATACAAGCTAATGTCAATTCCAGTATTTGTTGTCAAGTGTATTTACTACACTAACCTAACACACAACCCTTCAAGTTAGTTTGTTGCACTGAATTAACTCTTACCAAGTGTTTTTCAGCTGAATCTTCTTCCATTCCTGCAGGCCTCCATGTCAGCAAGCTTCACAAAGTAAAAAAAAAAAAAAGGTAAATATTGTTGCTCTGGAATCAGGTATTAGTTTGAGAATTAAATTTATGAACTTACACATGAGGAATAGTAGTTTTGAAGATTTCTAGCATACAATTGCATGTCTGGCCCCAGACTTCAGGGCTGAATTTCTGTCCATTTAGTATTACCAGGTTTTCTAGGCAGTTTGTACCTGATCGAGCCAACTGCTCATTATCTGTGAAAGAATTGTTCCGTATTTATCAACGTCTACAATATCAATGAAAAATTAAGCATTCTCTATTACTGCTCCATTAAACATTTTTACCAATATTGTGAAATGCATGGTATCTTAGCTCAAAGCCTACTTGTAAAGCGTATTACAATAATACCAAGCTTAGGAACCTACTGAATAAAAAAAATAGTGTTTAAAAATAGACTTCATGAGATTGAAATCCAAACAGGGAAGACAAAAGACAGGAGAGAAGCAGAAAGGAAAGCATACAGTGAGACAAAGGAAGGAAAAGCACCAACTAGAAACTTATGATTTCCTGCAAGGTAGTCCCCCCACATTCCATGCTAGCAATATTCAGGATTTCAGGCATAAGAGTTGCGGCCTAGAAGTAAACACATTCTTTAGAAAGTCGTATCTAAAAGTACTAGATGGTTGAGAGAAGGTGCGGGGAGGAAAAAAAGCAGAATGCATACATGTAGGTATCTGTACATAAATGAGGTATTTTATCCATGCAGCCAACTGGAGAAAGGTTATTGACAGAAGATTAACACAACTCTTTAAAAGCTTTTGCTCTGTCACAACAGCATCATAAACATGCTAACAGAAGAGCTGCCTAACTGATTAAATAGAATGATGCTCAAATATTTAAGATACTGCATCCATCTATTATAAAACATATTTTCCTAATGGTAGTTTTTAATTCTTCCAAAATTCTTAAACTTTCCCCTTCTTAAGTAATGAGCATTTAAAAAATACATTAATCAAAAGATACAAGTAAATAAGCTACCTTGTTTTACACACCAGTGTAACTGTGCAAGTATGTCAGGAAGAAGAATCTCATTTAAAGCTTCATAAAATTGCGTAAATACATCACAGATTGCATAAAGTGCATGGTTGCATGTAGTGGTCATCCATTCAGATTTCTATGAGGAAAAAATGAAAAGTCTTTGTTTCTATGTGGGTTCTTCTATGATGATAGCACTTGGCTTATGCATGGCTATTCAACAAAGGACATGGCCTCTGAGGAGAGGAGCAGAGTTTAGACAAAACTAAAAAGTCTCACTACTGCAGATGTCTAGTGAGAAGCATTTAGTTGGCCACATGAATACAGTTCAGAAAACTATACAAGTTCACAACAAACTGAATATTCTCCTTGAAAATATCCAGACAGAACAGACAGATAGGTCACTGGATACTATGACAAGTTTCACACATACCACAGAATACAGCAGAATACAACAACGCATCATTACATCTGGGGCAGTATGGGGTGGAAATACACTGACAAGACAAACAATACAAACTGCTGCCTTGATTGTTTGAGTTCTTAAAAACCAACCCTAACATTTGGTTGTTTTGGGGGGTTTTTGGGGGGGGTTTACCTCTGTTTGTTGTTCAGGGAGTTTCATATTATCAAAAATCCGAAACACAATTCTGAACAGATCTTGCCACCAGTGCTTTTCAAAGGTATGGCCATAACTCTTCATTATTTCAAACATCACTGTTAAGCCTCTGTAAACAAACCCAAACAAATAAAGGAAAAGATGTTAAAATGTGTACCTGTGATCTCTTCACTAACTGAATTAAAAAAAAAAAGCTTTATTACCTTGTTCTAACATCTAATTTGCAACGATTAATGATACAAGAAAGTTCAAATAAAATGGGAAACCATCCTCTGACCCATACTCTGTCCCCAGGAGCAACATTCATGTCATCACTCGTGTATTCTCTTAATACCTTGGAGATAGGCAGGGAAAAAAAGATGGAAAAAAAAAAATCTCAGAATTCTTTAATCCTGACAGATTTAGATACTACTAGTGGCACAGACAGACTTGAAAAGTTAGCTTAGTTTCTACCGTAACACTCAAATCCTGTAAAATATAGGTATAAATGAGACACATCTCTTTGTGAAAACACTGGGAAAAAAATACAGGAAATTAATACTTAAATCCATTTTACTTAAGTCCTGTAAAGCCTTAAGGCTTTACAAGTTGCAGAGGTTTGGACTTTAGGAAGCAAGTTTAACAGTGACAGGCAACAATTATATAGATTTCCTTATTACCTATCTAAATTTGGCATAAACCAGTTCTACACTTTTCTGGCATATTGGATACAGCATGCACATCTTGCAATGGTAACATGCAACTGCAATCTAACTCCAGGCTCTTTTCAGCAAAGTGATTATTATATTAAGTATTCACACAATAGACTGATGTAGAAAAATATGCATGTTAGTAACCAATTTAACTAGACATAATGAGGGTGACAGAACAGGAAGTATTGTTTTCCAGGTCATCCTAACACTATTAAAAAAAGGACTATTTCATTCAGTTATTTCCAATTTGGACTGATCCAATTTAAAATTTTTTTAATTAGTCCTAGTTTACTGCTTATGTAATACCAAAATTACTCCTAATTCTGAATAAGCTTTTAATATAAACACTTGCTGCTGGGAGACTTAAGTTTGAGTCTGAAAGCTCTTTCTTAGTTACAAGATTAGTCTCAGTTTAACAGTAGAAGATAATGTAAGAAAACACAAGGATAAAAATTAAAAGAAAATACCTGTGGTCTTTCTGAAACGTATTTTGCACAATACCGAATAAGTCTAATAGCTTCCATGCTGGTGTCCGGAAATGCAACATTACAGGCAAACTCAGAAAGACACTTTACTGCATCCTGAAATGAGTCAATTGCTGCTGGAAAGTGCTGTTGAAAAATATTTGCTGTGAAGAACAAACAAATACACTTTTTAAAATTTACTGATACTGAAATTTATAGATAAACTGGCATTGATCTACAGACATCAGCCATGGTATACCACTACCAAATGGACAAACATGAAAGGACCAGATCTTCTAGATTAAATATGGTTCTCTGTCTTCCCTTGGATTCTTCCCCATCCCACCCCACCACCCAAATTTGTCAGCATCACATTTTCTCAGGTTGGATAATTACCAATTTTATAATCTAGGATTATTTCATTCATAATCTGTATTATTTCATAGCTTCTTATATGGTTGTTTCCTCCCACAGCATATGCAACCCAAAGCTCTTAAAATATTTTGAGAAGTAATAGGAGTAAAGCCTGATGTTAGCTTCCCTGCAGTGAATGAAGTTACCTACATTTACCTAAATTATCTAAGCCTGTAATTATTCATATTCTGTAGCAAGAGAGGAAAAAAGAGTTAGATTTCAGACTTAAGGGACAGACTAAATACAAAACAAATCCAACGTGTACAAGCTTTTGAACAAACTACAACTCCCAAGATCTATGCAATTCAAGTTAGCAAAAACCCATTTTGTTACTATTTGCATTTATTAATACTGTCCATAGCTCTTTTTCCCCATGCTATTTAATAGGAAGAGGGTAGTTTCAGGACATTTAAGAAAGCTACGATCAATAGTGAAGGTCCATTTCAAGAATATTTGGGTTGGTTGTCTTCCTTTGAAAGTGGCAGCAGTATATTGTTCAAATATACTTTTAGAGCAGGTAGGCTTTATGAACTAAACTCTACAAGCAGTCACATATCAGCGTCACAAGCTTTATGATCCCCACCATACAATACTGAATCAGCATGGAAGTTTGCGATATGTGTTCCTTAATCCAAAACAACTTATTGCGACAGATGGGGCAACATACATACTTATTGAATCTACTCCAAACTTCCAAAGTTCTATAGCAGGATATCTATATCTAGTTTTTCCTGTCCACAGCAATCAGGAGACTTAACAGGTAAGACCTGGCTGCAGAGTTTAAAAAGTCTGCCTGCAAGATCTTGTGTTTATTTACCTGGAAATGTAAGTCTTATTCAGATGGGCCTTTTAAACCAGAATCACAGCAGCTAAGCTAATTTGGGTACTCACATCTGTCAAGCATTACTTACTAACTATGTGTGCTGTAGTTTGAAAGGCCAGCTCCACAATATTCCCGTCATGGTCTGACGCTGCTTGATGAAAGACTGCAAAGATATTCTTCCAGCCTGAACGAATATTACCAGCTTGAGAGTTTACCATCTGAGCAATACAGCGTATTACCATGTCCCGAATAGTTGGAGATCTAAAACAAAAAAAAAAAGGAAATTAAGACTTTCACAAGTGGCACAATTTTACACTGGCACAAAATAACTGTGCCACTTCCATTTACACGACAGTCTAACCCACACCAAGTAACATCTTTAAGTAAGACTAAAGCAAGCTAACAGAAATTGCAGTGCATCACACCTGTTTTTCTTCATAATATGCTCGAAAGGCCTTAGGAAGTCTTTCTGGAAGCGGAAGTTGGCCAACTCTCCCTTCTCAAGAAATTTCATTGACAGCTGCCTTAATGAGTCTACTGCAAAGATGGCAACATCTTCATTAGGATTACATCCAACCTAGAAGAAAAGCATATTTTCAAACACTTACCAGCTAACACATTACTTATATGAGTAACACTCATCATTCAAGTTTCATGTCAGTCCACTAAAAATCACTAGTACGTTCTAGCTTTCAGATATTTAGAAGATAGGGGGTTACTTTCGGAGAGGGCTTTCTCAGTCATTTGATCCAACTAAACAGATCTATGGCTTTCGTATGCAACAAGTGCAGAGCTATAATAGCCAGCTAGACACTAAAAAAAAAAGAATCTGAGGTTAAAAAAACCCACCCAAACATGGTCCAGTTTCTTAAGGAAAATAAATTTGTTGTTCCAGGATCATCTGTATATATTTTAGAGAAAAACTAACTTGGCATTTGATCAGAAAGATAAGACAATGGCATAAAGAAAAATTACAAATACAAAAGCATGTAATGAAGTGATTAAAGATCATTCCCATAAACATTTCCGTTTCTATTTATATACTTCAGATTTTTAAATAGGTGTTTCCTTTAGATGCCTTTAATTGATCTTATTTTTAAAAATATCACAGCCTACACCACTAAGAACATAAAAGAAAAAAGCTGATTAAAGAAGTCTTGCTATTCATGTATGTTCTGTAACTTGATTTTAAGAAGTACCTTATTGAAGTGATCTCCAATCACATGCCAAATCCTTGACCACTGCAGCCTAATGCGATTCATGTTGTAATACGATATCTCCACTATCTTCTGCAGGCTGAACATGCGTGGATGGTGTGGGGAAGCCAGCTCATCCATGGAAACAGCACACAGCCATCGCACAAAGTCAACTGAACATGAAAACACACTACTGTAAGTTCAGGATGTTACATTGCAAGAGTTCCTGTAACCCACCAAATGGTCAGCGTACATACCTATTGCATTTCCATCCAGCCTGGTTGATCCTGTAAATATCCTAAGGAACAAATAAATGAGTTGCAGTTTTAGCTGTGCATCCACAAGAGTCAATCACATCTTAGTGCCGTAGGCAAGTGTCAGCACATCTCCTGGAGGTACTTTACAGTCCTCCATGCCATGAACTCTGCAACTGTTTTATTCTGACTCCTTGGCAACAGTTCATGTCCTTCTCCTAGTCTAAACATTCTCTTCCCTGCTGCAAGTCATAGTCTACTATGCTCCTTTCCCACTGCAGGAAACAGGCACAGGCTCACATTTTTATCTGGGGCAAGTAGTGCTGGAACACTCATTTGGGTGACAGCACGTTAAACTTCATAGGGTGATTAAAAAGACATTAAGAAAGCTTTGCTGCAAGACTTTACTGCATGCCAGCCACCTGCTTGATCTTTACACAGTTCAAGAATACTCTAAGTTGTGGCCGTCAAAACAAATGACAAAAAGACTATGGATGCACCATTGTCCTTTCTTCCCCTTCAGTTGTTCAGAGTCTTGACAGGACTTCAGACCACTGGTTGTGGTTCATACAGAACACTGATAAGTGGAGAATGTTCCCAAATCTTTTAGACTTTGATATGATAATAGCCACGTTTATGTTACAATAAATACCACAAGTCTGAATGTATGATTCTACAGGCTTGCCCAATAGTCTGAATAATTATAAAAAAGTCCCCTTCCAACACATGGCTTATGATAGAAGCATCTCTTCAGACAACACTTTAGAAGGACAGATGAGGAAGATAATGATTTGGACAAGAATGCCAGTGACTAATGAATAAAAAGCTGACGAACAGCAACTAAAGAAATGCTGAAATACTAGAGTTCACAAGACCAAAGAAAATTGTATGATTTAATAGACCAAGGGCATTTATTAATTTTGGATACCTGTCCTGTTCAGGCTAAATCAATGAAAAAGAGAAAAGAAACCCAAATACACAGAATACACACACACAAGTTAGAGACAATTATCAGACAGATTTGTAAAACAAAAATAGCCAAGTACTGTAATACCAACCTAATTCTGGTCTTCACTGGCTTACTCCAAAGAGAAGGCGTAAAAACACATGCATACACACAGTACCCCTTCTCACAATGCACTACATTAGTTATACCGCTATTTAATGACAGTCTTTCTTTTGCAAATATTACATGCCTAAAGAGATACACTTATTGGGTCCAGAGAAAGCATCTAAGTATCAGCATCTTTCTCACAAGAGAAACAGGCTTCAAGAACAAAAGTACCTGTCAGAGTCTGCAAATAAAGTGAGGATGGTCAGGAACTTCAACTCACATTTTCCCCAGAAAGAGATTATATTCTCAGTACCTGTCTACTGCTACCACTACACTCTGTGAACTGGTCTCTCCCACGGACTCTTGAATGCTCGCCATATGCCGTTTATCAGCTCCACTTCCAATGAGGTTACCTGCAATAAAAAGCCATTAAAACCCGGTATTTAGCATCATGAAATTGTGACTTTATATTAACCCTAACTTTATACAAGTAGACAAAGACAAGTGACTACTGCTTCCAATTAGCTTGTAATTTACATGGAGCAGATGGTGCCTTTGCCAGATCTGTGCCAGATTATTACAAAATCAAACATCCAGTTCAAGTATGTTTTTTTCCCCCCTTAGGACACTGTTTTGACCCTCACGTTTATTAAGTTAAGATGATGTAACGCTGTTAATAAAAGCTGGAAATGATAAAACATTATTTAAAAATATTAACTCTAAGTCAGATACAAGTAGTTAATGCTGGGCACAGTTCTGTTATATTCAGCATTATCGTCGTGTACACCATCAACTCCAGAGTATTTTCAAATTAAAAGGTTTCCCTGATGGTTTTCCAAAGATTAAGGCAACTTGCCTTGTCCCTCTCTAATTTACAGCTTAAAATCTAAGGTTTGTTTCCTGCACATAATGTAGGAACAATAGGAACTGGAACAGCAAGCCCAACATGCAGAGATAAGAAATTCCTTTGGAAAACCAATTATCCATCATTGAAACATCCATTAGTTCCTAAAGATAAATGGCTTATGTTTTTACTATTAAAAACAGAGCGTAAAAACAAAGAACTGATAATATTGGTAACAAAACCATGACTTAGTAAGTATGGCAAAAGTTTTGACAACATGTTCCAGCAAATAAATCTGGAAGAGTTCTGTTGAATAGCTTAACCCAATTATGAAGTTAGAACATATTCAGTAATTACTAATACATCTTGAAATATACGGTTCAATTTTTTTAAGTTTCATTAATCCAATATATCTTCCTCTGGAAGCAAGTAAATATATTTTAATATCTTACAACATTGAGCTTTCTTAGCCATCATATTTCACTTATATGTGAAGTCCAAAATTATTAATCTTACCTAATCCCAGGCCCATAAACTCTTCCCCTCCAGATGCATAGCCTTTAATGCTTCCTTCCCTTTCACGCCCAGAGCCAGATAAATACCGAGTTTTCACTCCAGTTCCTATAAGTTGTGCTAGTTCCAGCTGGCTAATACATTTCAAGATCTAAAACCAAAAGATATTTAAAAATTGTGTTTCTGGACACCATTATCTTTTAATTCCTAACATATATTTATATTTAATATTTGTAACCTTCCCAGGTTCTCTAACCCTTAAAACAACTTTGACAATGGTAACGGTTTTGATGTAGCTGAAACATTACCAATACAACCGGAAATAAAGTTGAGTGATTCATTCAAGATCACCAGCTGCCACGAATCATTCCAATATGAGAAAAAATAAACAGTACCCAAAAACCTAACTTGGATCTCTAACTACTAGAGGAAACCTTTTTATTACTTCTCACAGCATCAACCTTCAAAACTATAAACAACTTGAGTTGATCTTCTAGAGAGTTCATTGTCCCAGAGATGAAAAGACTGAATTATTGCAGCTACCACTTTGAGTAGTGATGTTCCAACATAGACAGTGAAAATGCCAAAATTGTGCCTTGCCATCAGCACAAAATTGACACTCTCTTCTTTCTTACTCCCCCACTGCAACATCCTTTGGACTGGCACAAGCATTTGTGAGGGTATAGCTGTAAGCCAGGTCCAAGTAATTTGTCAGCTAGAGAACCTTTTGGCTCATATTATCACGTAGCTAAAGACTATTGCCAGAGTCTGCAAAGGGACAGCACAGATTTAGATCTGATTAAAGAGCTCCCGGAAAATATGCTTTAAGAAAATACATATGATCCCGATAGCCCTAATTTTTCATGTGATCATGGTATAAGTGTTGCCAAACACTGCACAGACAAGTCTGGACCTGTGAACTAGAGTATTTTTGTTTACATGAACAAGAATGCAATGGTTTCTGTGCAGAATTCCCTGAAATCAAATGAGATCTTAATATGGTTTTAATTCCATATCAAAAGCACCTACAAAAATTACAATATTGGTCACACAGTGTCTATAGGGTCTGCCAAAAAAATGCAGTGCATTATTTTATATATATACATACACAAACATATATAAAATAATGCAGTGCATTATTTTATATATATACATACACAAACATATATAAAAAACCACCAACAAAATAATGCACTTGCATCCACATTTTAAACAGGTTTCTGACACATGCTGGCAGCTAATGCAGTTACTAAAGACTGAAAGTAGTAGAAGAACAAAATCCTGCAAGTTTTCAGAGGACAACGCAGTTGCACTATTTAAACTAATCAAGTTTTTACCTCATGCCAAGAGTTCCCAAGATAGTTGCCATCTGTGTGAGTGACAGTAATAAGTGTCTTAATGGTATCTATGTTCTTCTGTTTCATTTCTGTAATACTGGAACTGGCAGTCAATAAGGAAAAACGAGCAAGGGCCTGTACATAAGCATCTCGTTCAAGCTACAAGACAGAGAAACAAGCATCTTAATCAAGTCCCTTGAAGAGCTACAGAAAGCTACTTGTCCAGCATGCCTACACAATTTGTCTTCTATGTATAATTGACACTATTAGAGCACTTTCCAGCTGAAGGAGAGCTGGAAGTTTGCAAGTTAGTGAACGCTCTTATTAGAGGACTCAGCAATAAAAGTAAAACGGAGTTGAAGAAAAGCTTGACAATATCAAGATCTTAAAACAAACTAAAATGAGATGGTGATATTTTATTTTACCATTTCAAGAAAGTAGATGAGACGCTTCATTTTCTATGCATAAGTTGTTTGTAATTCTTCATCTCCCTCCCAGAGCCTACACTGCCCTTAGCAAGCCCCATGCTAAGTCTTATACAAACCTGCATTCCAAAGATACAGGCTATTCTAATTGCACATCGTATTCCTTCCAAACAAAGGGATGCAACTTCTGTGTCATCACAGTTCTGCAAGCCAACACTGTAAGCTGCCAGCAGTGGAGTCCATACAAGCTAAAAAAGGGAAGAAGCTAAGTTCAGAAGTCTATTAGGATTTTAGCCCAAAACACTAGGTAACTGAAACCAAATATATGCAAGGAGTCTATCCGTTGCATTACCTAACTCTTCAGAGTAATTTTCCACTTTTTTCCATGCTTAAAACTCTTAGCAATGAAGAGACAAGGAGAACTTCACACTCACTTTGAACATGGGTCTGACATGATCCAGATGAGTGGCGCTAGTAAAAGAAGCCTTTGCATGGCTTACGGCCTCCATGAGGGCTTTAGCTGTTTTAGCCATTTGTTCCATCTCCAAGTTGTACAACAACCTCCGCTGCTTCTCATTAGCTACGCCTAAGGGGAACACGACACAGTTGCACTGGTTTCTTTTTTATAAGAGCATATTCCATGTCTTCGCGTTGAGCGTCACAAAATGTTAAATAAAAGGTACTGCAAATGAAATCTAAAGATAAAAGCCTTCCAGAATGTTAGAATTCAGGAGGCTGTCATAGTTTGCAAGCAGGGAACTCCAGCACTAAAACCCACCCCCCAACTTAAGACTTTATTCTATACAAAATAACTAATTCAACCCTTTATTATATGCTACATATTATGACCTAATCATTGGAAGTCAGAGAGGCATACTCTGTTAAGTCACTCTGCCTGTAAAAATGGACGGAAAATCCTTCATCTTCTTAGGCTGACATCCTCAAAACAAAACTAGCCCTCACCAGCTTGACAAATAAATTAATAACTTAGTGTTTCTTTATCCTTATACTAAAGGTTGCACTTCAATTTTCAAGCAAGTTAATTTCGTTCCTATTTTGACCCAGGAAACCTGCAAGCAGCACAGAAAACACTGAAAAAAACACTATGCTGAAGATTCAGAATTCACTAATTTAAATTAATACCAGCTATTCTGAGTAAAAGCAGAGTACAGCTGGGGATAATGGATTCTAGTGTACACTACACACAGAAGTCCTCATTTGGTCTAGATGAGGATAGGTGACTACAGATCATGACAAACTTTCTGATCTCTCTTTTTCAAACATTATCACAAGGACTGTGGCACTTACCAGCCTCTGAACTATGACATGCTACTGACAGGGAGACAAAAAAAGCCAACCCAAAACAAAACCCCACCTGTTGTCTAGCACATAAAAACAAGAAGTTAACTCAAAGTGCCACCTTCACTTATTCTACCATTTTCTCCTCACACTTCTATTTAAAAAAAAAAAAAAAAAAAAAACACCCCCCCAAAAAACCCCCAAACCAAATCAAGTTTCTAGTGCCTCTCTGCAATGGTGCCAGATACACTTAAACAGCTATGTTTCCATCACAGAAGTAGCAGTATTAAAGTAACAACTGAGCCAGTTTCATTCCAAATATCTATATTAGCCATTCTAGATGTAATTTATGTATTGCAGAGATGTTATCAAAAAAAGAGATCTGAACTCCACTATGCCATCCTGAAAGTTACTGCAATAGTTCAGGAGCACTGTGGTCTTTCCAGTTTCTAGTTCCTTCTTACTTGGTTTACTACACTTGGTTGTAATTGCGTATTCTTTTGTCTCTTTCATTGCAATCTTCTTTCCTTCTATTTCTCTGACATCCTCAAAACAAAACTAGCCCTCACCAGCTTGACAAATAAATTAATAACTTAGTGTTTCTTTATCCTTATACTAAAGGTTGCACTTCAATTTTCAAGCAAGTTAATTTCGTTCCTATTTTGACCCAGGAAACCTGCAAGCAGCACAGAAAACACTGAAAAAAACACTATGCTGAAGATTCAGAATTCACTAATTTAAATTAATACCAGCTATTCTGAGTAAAAGCAGAGTACAGCTGGGGATAATGGATTCTAGTGTACACTACACACAGAAGTCCTCATTTGGTCTAGATGAGGATAGGTGACTACAGATCATGACAAACTTTCTGATCTCTCTTTTTCAAACATTATCACAAGGACTGTGGCACTTACCAGCCTCTGAACTATGACATGCTACTGACAGGGAGACAAAAAAAGCCAACCCAAAACAAAACCCCACCTGTTGTCTAGCACATAAAAACAAGAAGTTAACTCAAAGTGCCACCTTCACTTATTCTACCATTTTCTCCTCACACTTCTATTTAAAAAAAAAAAACAACAAAAAACACACCACCACAAAAAACCCCCAAACCAAATCAAGTTTCTAGTGCCTCTCTGCAATGGTGCCAGATACACTTAAACAGCTATGTTTCCATCACAGAAGTAGCAGTATTAAAGTAACAACTGAGCCAGTTTCATTCCAAATATCTATATTAGCCATTCTAGATGTAATTTATGTATTGCAGAGATGTTATCAAAAAAAGAGATCTGAACTCCACTATGCCATCCTGAAAGTTACTGCAATAGTTCAGGAGCACTGTGGTCTTTCCAGTTTCTAGTTCCTTCTTACTTGGTTTACTACACTTGGTTGTAATTGCGTATTCTTTTGTCTCTTTCATTGCAATCTTCTTTCCTTCTATTTCTTCATAGATTGTGGATAAATACTCTACTGGCAGATCTTTACTGTCATTGATTCCTCGATTCATTTTAATGTATTGCTCCTTTGTCATTTTATTTTTTACCTGTAAAAAAGAATGGAAGTTGGATGTCAGATTTTGAATGCAAGTTCCAGGGAAATATGAACTTGTAGAAGTTTGTTTTTTTAATTTCTACCTGTGGACTGTGCAAGTCTGTGGTCAGCATTATAATAGAGTACGCTAAAACATAGGCAGTGTCAGCACTAGCAAATAGTGTTTGCCTAAGAGAGGAAAAAAAACAAAACAGGTTTTTAGAGCCCTAATTCCTCAATCCATTAGCTCTATTTCTACATGCAAGAAAAATACCCAGCAACCAAAGAGCTAACAGAGCCTAAAATTAGTCTTTAGAAACACATGAAGCCCCAGGTGTTTTAAAATGCAAATAAAAAGGGAAAAAAAAAATATAAAGGCATCTTCTTCATAGTGTTGAAAACTAGCTATGACTGGAATTTTCAAGTACATTCCCAAAAGATTATACATTATCCTTCTTTGGATAATCCTACAAAAGCTAAAGAACAGCTTATTTTTGACTCCCAGGGTTTCATAAAGAATTATACAAAACCAGTCCAGTGATGCACCAACTGGACTAAGGAATGGGAACCAATTAAGCCTGGACATGTAGCTAAACTTCAATGCTAGTTTATTACATTAGAAACAATAGCAACACTGCCTACTTGGTGTCAACTAACGTATGTACATTTTGTTCAATGTCTAATGGGCAAGCAAAAACATGTGTAACATCTTATTAGCTATTTTTGCCATGTATTTTTAATTTTAGCAGTTGCTACTGCTTATTACTGTTGTTTACACTTGACTGATCTACATTTGTTTAAAAACAGAACAGCTAAGACAGAGACAATTTAACATACTTAAGGCTTCCCTCTTCCAATAATTCCTTCTACCAAGTATTTGGGATTTAATGAAATGCCAACATCAGTATACTTTCGATCCAAAGTTTCCGTTTTGCCTAGCTGCTGAAGACGTTCAGCACCAATATCAGGAACAAGATCTACTCCTCACTCAAGCCTGTAGATGTTCCTGACCTGATACATGAGTGTGAGTTGCACCTGGCCCCTAAGGGCCACAAACAATACAGCCGTTCTTCAGGTACTTATCCAATACAAAGGTTTTGAATTACCGTTGGTTGCATTCAATATATCTAGCAGCAAACTTCTCCATTAATCTGTCAATCTTCTGGGCTTCACCTGGCAGACGAAAACCTTCCAGAAATATACGCAGAGCAGAGACAAAGTCTTTTCCACAGAAATCAAGCTGGTCTACATAGGCATACATCACTTCCTTGTTAAACTTGTTGCTTTCCCCAAGGAAATCCCCTACTTGAGTCTAAAAACACAAGAGACAGTTACTACTGTGTAATCCAACTGCCAGCTTTGCAAGAAAGTTTATAGTACAAGAATTGCACAGCTGTCAGTTTTGTAAGACTGATACGCTTCACTGAGCAGGCAGAGCAACCGTTAGAGGGATGACAAGAAACCAGTGTCATTAGAAATGCCTTTAATCTGCATATTCTTGCTTCCCTCACTTCCCAAGGCAAGATCTGCATTACTGTAGAGCCAAGGAAAGCTGAACTGTGCCCAGTTTCACATACAGTAGAGAATGCTTTGCCACCGCAGTACATCATAGTCCTTTACTGGCAAGATACCGCTAATGCAGATACAGATAAAATGCATGTTCCCATTCATGGGGAATCCCTTCAGCATTTTATTGGGAACACAGCTACTTTACTAAAAAGCCTGGGACAGCAAGTAAATAGAAAGTGGCATTGGTATTAAGTACCTTCATTAGAACCCTTACACTTTCAGTTATCTATTAATGAAATATGAACTAAAGAGAGTGCATACAGACATCAGAAGACGGGGGAGAAGATGATAGGGGCAAGAGTATTAATTATCTTATGTTGCATGTAGTCTTACAGAACAGAGGCGTTCTTCTTGGTGCAAAAACTGTGCAATGTCCTCTGCTGTAATGCCAAGCATTCCCTGCTCCTGTAGATATTGTATTCCTCTCTTTGGTTTTTTATTGAACCTATTCAGTCAAAAACATGGGGAAATTGAGACATACAATTGAAAAATATGACAGCTATAAAATTTTAGTTTTACAGAGCCATTCTAAACCAAAGATTCTGTGCTGTAGCTCTGTCTTTTTTTCCCCTTAGAACAAAGTCAACGAATATGCAACAAATGTATTAACTACATCACACCATAGGCTACATCCCATAAGGTACATTCAGTTGCCGATAAGCTTAAAAGTTATTGCTGGAAAACTCACTTAAAAACTGACCCTTTTGAAATATTAAAAATTAGAGAATTTCCAGGAAATGTTAAAAATGTTGCCGTTCAAGATCTTTCTATAGCATTTACAGACATAAAGATCTCCAAATTAATGAAAGAAGTAATTTTTAGCTGGACAATGATTTAATTCTCCAAACTCTATTTCAATAAAAGACAACAAATGGTGTAAGAGCTGTAAGACAACATTCAGCCTACCTGCTCAAATCAATTTCTCCATAGGTATACACACACTTTCCTCTCTTGTGTGGCTGAACCAGCACAAAGGAAAGCTGTGAAACCACCCTCTACTCCACCCAAGATTTTACTGAATTCCTTTTCACTACAATAGCCTCCAGCGTTAGCTTTTGACAACAGCAGGCAAGAGTCTTCAGCATTAGGATCAATTTGTAAATGTCCCTACAGGTATGACTGTGTAAGGCCATAAGAAACAATATGGTTGTACACATAGGTTTGTTTTTTTTTTTTTTTACTAGTGAACTTTTATTTCCCTGTCATACTGGACTTACAGTTCTATCCCATGTTCAATTATTTCCTTTTGTTGCTTGATGACTTCAAATTGCTCAGGATCATCTGGGACAGCAGTCTGGGTACCAACACTTCCAACTCCTGATGACACAGTGGAGTCCAAGGAACTGACACTACTTCGTCTCCCTCCACTCTCAAGGCATTTACCTTCAGCCATTTCCTGTTCAGATGGTTTATATGAACCTGTTTATAAACAGGGTGAGACTTAAGTTATCCTGTTCAGTCAAAAGCTTATAGTTATAAAACTTTTTAGTAGAAATTCATTACTCAATATTCTTATTTTACCACGTATACTTTTTGGCAGTCTATACTACATGAAGATACTATATTGATGCAATTCTAAAATAATCCAACAAAAGGCAGAAGAGCAGCCGCAGCTATGGAGACATTCTTGCACTTCAACTTAGTAACTACAAGATTTGTCACGTCTTGATCTACGTAAGCCAGCTTTTATAGTGTAGACAATGGCCTGGCTAAAGCTCTTCTTATTTGAACCAGACACTTGGAGAGTTGGTTACTGCAACAGCATTAACAATTGTTTCTAAAATACTTCATTCATATGAACAAATAGTTATGTAAAAACATAGCATCCACACTTCTGAATAGCTTCTAAACACTGAATAAACACAAGGACAAACTTATTAAACAAATTAGTCTCTCCATAAGGAAACAATCTTACCCAAGCTAGCCTGATGATTGGGGTTCACATAGAGGTCTTTGCTCCATTCTACCATACATTTTAAAATAGAAACCAAACATTCAAGTCCTTTTTTCCTCAGGCTTAGTTCCTAAAAAACCAAACAAAAAACCCAATAAAAAAAGACACCAAAACCCCAAACCAATATATGTATATCCACAAGTTTTTAGAAGGCATTACATCACACCATTCACATCTTAAAGTTCATCAGTTAGGGGGAAATCTATCGGTTATACAAAGTTTCTGCTCCTTGACTATTTAGGTTGGATACATCCAGGCCAAAAGTAACCATAACCAGACTGACACCAGAACACATTCCAGCTGCTTTAAGCAGATGGTCTATTGACAACTGATGAGTACAACCAAGGGGCAATATACACCAAATCCTAAATGCAGCCCCTTTGTTATATGAATGATTGTGACCATCCAGAAGCCTCTATAGTGTCAGATCTCTCCATAAGCAAGACAAGTGTCTCGCTATCTTAGCTGTACAGTAAACTGTTCTATTCAAAATCTGAAACAAAGATCTCCTGGTTTTTACTTCCATG